ATCCGCTACCCCCCTCCAGCTCCTACCGCCTCCCACCCACTGACAGCCCCACCAATCAGCATGTCCCCCTCCCTCCCCACGCCTCTCGCCTGCTGCAGTCAGCTCTTTTGCAGTGCGCAGGAGGCTCTGGTGGGGAGGAGCGAGGGCATCGTGGGCTCGGGGGAAGGGCTGGAGTGGTGGCAGGACCTGGAGCAGAGCAGGAGCAATGAGCACCCCCACAGCACATTGGAAAGTTGGCATCTGTAGCTCCAGCCTCGGAGACAGTGCCTATGCAAGGAGCTGCATGTTAACCTCTGAAGAGCCATCTGCAGCTCCAGAGCCACAGGTTGGCCACCCCTGCAATAGGCATTTCTGCTGTTGCTTAATTGGCAATAACCTTACCTTATTTCTTATGACACAGAGATTCTTGTTATAAGAAATCCGAGGATCCAGTGCAATAGGGTATTTACTGAGACATACTGTGCAAAGGAAAAGCCAGCATACAGAGAACTTTAAAAACAAACAAACAAACAAACAAAAATTTGTTGGTTAGTGCTGACTCCCTGATTTGAATAAACTGTGGGAATTTTTATTATTGGTTTTCAGACCTGGCTGTGGCCCTAATGTAGATTTAGGCAACTTTCCACTGGATTAAATAGCATCCTTCAAATATAGCTGTAGTTTGTTTCACAATTACATTTTAGAAACATAGTATTGAAACAGTCATCTTTCAAGTATTGGTTTTCTTAATCTGACTGTCATCAGCAAATGGTGAGAGAGAGATGCTATCCTTGGATTAACTTCTGCCTGTCACAAAACAATAGAGGGATCCCAAGAATACTACTGTAAACTTTGTCCTCGCTAAAACTATTTTGTATATGTGTAAAATAATATATGCATATGTTAATGATCAGTCCCTGTTGCTATCTAAATTGCCTGCTTTGGCAGTTACACTGATTTAACTCTGTAAAACAGCAAATTCTGGTATGAGAGCAAGCATCCCAGGTTGTTGGTACATTTGTTGAGAAATGATAGCCAGGAGTATTTCTAGGAAATATTTTGTCAATTTATTTAAAAAAAAAACAAAACAAAACACAAGCTCGGCTGATGAATTCCATTTTGTTTACTTGAGCAGTGGTTTACTACCGCAACCATCACATAATTCACTAAATTTTCTGCTTGTTTTGAGTCAGTTGCTGGATATTTCATGAATACCTGTAGTATTTGAAGAAAGGTAGAAGAGGAGCATGGCAAAGGAATTAAACATTGGAATTCTCTATCTTGGCATTTGGTATGTGGGGAAAGTCTAAGAAGCATATACCTCAACTGGAATAAATCCCTCACTGTTTATCTGGCTTTTTATTGACTACAAATCCAGATGCTCCTTCTCTTGAAGAGGGAAAATCTGCTCTTATTCTGTTAATGTTGTCACAACTGACCAAACTGTATGGTGCCAGTTCACCATAGAAATGCATTTTGATGCCGTTGTTATATAGATTTCTTCACAATGAAATAAATTTTAATAAGCATGTGGCTAACACTGGTGCAAAGTGAGTCAATGTTACCCCCTTACTATTAAATTTGACATGGTTCCAGAGCTCTGGAGACAAACCTCCCACTGTATTTCTCATTTTATTAACAACTCAGGCACAAGCTCCTTTATTTCTGCAATCAGTTCTGAAGTGCCTTAGTCCAGACCAGTTTGAGTTCCATCCTTAGAGCTGTGATAGGCAAGACTTCACCTGACTCCTACTTAACTAAGGGCTGGCCTCCACTGGGAACTTATATCGGCATAGCTACGTCTCTCAGGGGTGTGAAAAAGCAGCTTTGCCTGCTGCTGTGAACTGTGTGGTGCGTGCTGTACATGGTGGGGGGGTTTTCCTGAGACTAGGAATTCTGTGGCGCTTGAGGTGCATTTACAAGTACTGTTTGATTTCTTGACTGCTGGTGGGCATTCTGTAATTTGTGAGCTAATGAAGCTACTTTGAGTCTCCAAAAACAGAACGTTAAAGTTTAGTGCACAAAATCAAAGTGCAGACAATGTCATGCAAATTTCTAACACAATTTAACATGAGTGAAACCTTTTAAAATTACTATTGAAAAGGAAATAAACACGTCCTTTTTGTTTTCACAAGTGGATGTTAGTCCAGTGTAGCCTGCTGTGGCTGAGAAAACCATAGATTGGTGTATGTGAAGCTGAGGTTTGCCTTGCTTTTTCCCCCCAACGTGGAGTGGTAGGGGTAAGGATGCAGTTCATAATGCCAAGTGATATGTGGGGGAGCAGTGACCATGTAGTTCTCCAGTGACTGCAAAGGCTGAGTCTGATGTTTGGCCCTGTAGATCAACAAAGGTCTGCAGTGTTTTGGGTTTGCTGCCTGAAAAAAGCTGCTATTATCCTGGTGCATTTCCCTCTCCTTGTTCTGCTGGGACTCCTAGGCCTTTTGCCCGACCTTTTGTTTTGTATTGCATTTTTTTTTTTTCATGTTTTCGGTCAGATTGTCCCTACGTGCTCTGATGCAGCACTGGCTTGAAAGATCTCTCAGAAAATTCCTAGCTTGTCTTCTCTCTCCTTCTCATCAGGTCAGGTGTGAAGGGTGCATCCCTTAAGCTCACCATGCCAGAAGTTGCTAATAAAAATAGACATACCGTTGGATTTACAGTCACATCGGGAAGGGAAAAGTTTCAAAACTCCCTTCCCTTACTCCCATAAAAAATTTTAATTAGAGGTGCTTATTAACACTTCAGCTTTGGAGCACCTTGGGATAGCACTAGTCTTGTACTCCTGGTGAGTACAGCCTGGTGGGGGAGACTTTCTGTTGTATGAAGCTATAAAATTTGGCCCCCAATTCCGTGGTTAGGAGTATAGGGCAATGGCAATGAATATTGGCAGCCTAAGTGTGGTGACTTTAGCTGAGATCTCACTCCTAAGGGTTACAAAGGCACAGAGCCCAGTTCTTACTGGCCTCGCAAGGTCACCTGGGCCTGCCTGCTGCTAGCCTGTTGGCTGTGATGATGCCAGCCATACTCCTCGCAGAGTGGCATGGGTGTCCCATTGCGGAGGACGAAATAAGGCTGTCATCCCTAGAAACCTGCAGGAGAGGATTGCAGAGTATCTACATGAAAGTTTTTTTTCATCAAGCTCTCTCAGCAGGATAAAAAGGGTGTCCCTGTTCACATAAACAAGCATATGCCAACTCTACCTCTGTTGTACCCGTACCTCTTCTCATATGAGCAAAACAATGAAAAGTCAATACCTATGTCTCATGAACTTGGGGCTGGGCACTATCTTTGGGTTTGAACATTGTAAGGAAAAATGTATACACACATTTACGTGAGATTCCTTCCTCTTCAAGCTTGTCTGTGTTCACCTGGCAGGACTGGCTAGACTGTGGTGGAGTCTCGAACAGGTCCTGGCTTGTGGCATGGCTGGAACCCTCAGACGCATCTTCTTCCTTCTCCTCATTGTTCACAGCAGAGGTCTTTGTCTCAGGCTCCTTGGAGGGATCTATGGTCTGTGGGGTGCTGGTGAGGTCTTCACCAGGTATGGCATGCAGCCTGTTGTAAAAGCAGCAGGTCTGTGGCTCAGCACCAGTTCTATAGTGGAGAATGGGGCATTGTGGGAAGGAAGCTGCTGAAGGACTGTTTGGACTGACACGTGTCACACAGTGTCTGCAGTTGCTCTGTATCAACCTGAGTAGGTTACCCATGGTTCCAAACCATTTAGGGAGGTGGTTTGACTGTCACTGTAATGGGGCATTTACATCAGCTGGAGATTAATTTGCGTATAGACGCATGCACAAATAGGCCAAAATAGGTCATCTTGTGTTGACCTAACTTTGTAGTGTAGATCAGCCATTACTTATGCAGCGAAGACCTATTCTAAGGCCTTGTCTACACTGGAAATTTTTACTAGTTGTGATTGCATATTGTGGTACTTCCTAAGAGTGTGTCATGGACCAGGATCCCATTATGGTAGGCGCTATACAAACACAGAACAAAGAGTCCCTGCCCCAAAGAGCTTACCGTCTAAGTATAGTCCCCTATGTCAACATTTCCATTTTAGTTTGGCTCTTAAACACCTTCTTAAGTGACCTAAACTGAAAACAGGCCCTTCTATACTAGAATAAGAGCATTTACTGAATTTTCCAGTGTAGTAGACAAAGCGTGATAGAGGCAGTTGTCACTATTGTGGTATGTGTTTGGTTTCTAAGGATCTATGCACTTGTGCCCATAGCCCATCAGGGAAAGCCACTGGCGTGCCGGGACGGTTTGTTTACCTGCCACGTCCGTAGGTTCGGCTGATTGCAGCTCCCACTGGCCGCGGTTCACTGCTCCAGGCCAATGGGGGCTGCAGGAAGCGGCATGGGCCAAGGGATGTGCTGGCTGCTGTTTCCCACAGCCCCCATGGAAATGGAAATAAACTGCTTTCTTTCTACTCAATGGCCTTTTTGTAGGGTACCACTACTCTGCAATATTTGGGTTTTAAACACAATACAATAATGCTTTTTTAATTTTGTAGAACAAGGAAGGAGTTTTGTTTTATAAAGGACCTAGCAAAGTGTAGGTGTTCTGTATGGAATGTGTGTGCATAAGAAATAAAATGAACCCCTGTGCCTTAAGAAATTATAGTACAGAACCTGACTTTGTCAGGTCAAATTTTGCACCAATGTCCCTTTTCAGTTATTCCTCATGATCATTTTTGTTTCTGAGTCTGGATAGTGTTGGAGCTCTCTTTATGGAAAGCAATAACTGGTTATTGCTGGGTTAAACCAGAATTTACCGTGCAAAATCAAGTACCTTAAGCCTCCTAAGGAAAATGAATGAATGACTCAAGCACATTAGAAGTTAACTGACTTTCAAAACATGTTAGCACTAACACAGCTCTGCGTTCTGAGTAAATCTTATTGCTGTGGTTGCTAAGCACTTACCATCGTAGGTGGCGGGTATTGGTTTGGGCATTCTGGTTGTTGAAACAAATACTCACTTTAATACCTCTCTCCCCTCCTGTTGTGTCCTTGTAGGAACTGAAACTGCCTGTCTATAAGGCCCATTCACCACAGATTGGGATGCGCCGCTACTTTACTGACCTCTTGACTGTCCTCAGTAGCCGCTGCAATCTCTGCCCTACAGCACGGCACCTTGCTGTCTACTTACTGGACCTCTTTATGGATCACTACGATATTACTGTCAAGCAACTGTATGTCATTTCGATTGCCTGCCTTCTCCTAGCAAGTAAGTTCACTGCTGCCTAGTAACATGCTTGTTTTTTTCTGATCAAGCAGATGGTTGCTTTTGTTTTATGTAACGCACAAGCTGCTATTCTCCATTCAACAGGGGATAATTTTAATGTAAGATATAACTTCTCCCGAAATTCATCAATTTGGGCCTGAAATTATGCCACGCTTGGCTTCCACTGAGACCAAAGAGAGCTGGGATCATTCAGTACATTGGAGAATAGGACCTCCTAATGTCTGAGCTGAAGGCAGTTACCAAAGCACACTGTGGCAGCTGTATGTGCTTGCCAATATACCTCTGAACCAACATTATGTGTTTTTAAAGTAGCTTTGTTTAGTAACCGAACTAAAGAACAAGTTGAATTGTTAAACTCTTGCATTTCAGGGAAGTTTTTAAGAAGTGATCTTAAAGAAAGGGATTTTTAACTTGGCAAAGAAGTTCAGGGTTCCCAGCCAATAGCTCTACATAAACCCTAAACTCTTCTACCATTGGAGAACTTTTGCTTACAGTGATGTCTTCATAGATCCATTGATGTAGACTTGAGTGAGAACCTGGCTAGAAAATTTATAAGCACAGAATATGTACTAAAATGTTACACAGCAACTGGTGTCCATTTGATTAACGTGACACTGTCCTACTTGTTCAAGATGCTTGGTCTGTCTTGAAAATGAACCCGTGACAAAGAGAACTATTTGTTCAGCCCCATCTCTGCGCTCAAGGCTATGCAAATGGTGGATGGCACTGATGTAGCCACAAGGATCCTACTTATGGTCTCTCCTGAAATGGATTGTGCTAGGATAATTTTACCATACAAAGGACACTTAAGGCCTCATAACACTATGGTGGAACAGACAACAGATTTTGGTATATGTTTCTAAATCTAGAGAGGTGTTGCCCCTTTTTCCTAGCTCTGAAAAAGGTGGAGATTGTTGTATCATTTTAGAAATATAGAGGAGCTGGGATGTAGCTCAGTGGTAGAGCACATGCTTTGCATGTATGAGGCCCTGGGTTCAATCCCCAGCGTCTCCAAGTTCTTTGGGGGGAGGGATAGCATTGGTCTGCTAAACCCAGGGTTGTGAGTTCAATCCCTGAGGGGGCCATTTGGAATCTGGGGCAAAAATTGGGGGTTGATCCTGCTTTGAGCAGGGGGTTGGACTAGATGACCTCCTGAGGTCCCTTCCAACCCTGGTATTCTGTGGTTCTATGGATATGTCTACACTACGAAATTAGGTTGAATTTGTAGAAAGCGGTTTTATACAGTTGATTGTGTGTGTCCCCCCAAAGTGCTCTAAGTGCATGTAGTCAGCGGAGTGTGTCCACAGTACCGATGCAACCGTCGACTTCCGGAGCGTTGCACTGTGGGTGGCTATCCCACAGTTCCCGCAGTCTCCACCACCCATTTGAATTCTGGGTAGAAATCCCAGTGCCTGATGGGGCTAAAACATTGTCGCAGGTGGTTCTGGGTACATATCGTCAGGCCCCCGTTCCTTCCTCCCTCCCTCCCTCCTTCCCTCCGTAAAAGCAAGGGCAGACAATCATTTTGCGCCTTTTTTCTTGAGTTACCTGTGCAAATGCCATACCACAGCAAGCACAGAGCCTGCTCAGCTAACCGTCACCATATGTCTCCTGGGTGCTGGCAGACGTGGTATTGCATTGCTACACAGCAGCAGTTAATTGCCTTTTGGCAGCAGACAGTGCAGTATGACTGGTAGCTGTCATCAACATAGTCCTGGGCGCTCTTTTAATCGGGCGCCTGGGCAAACGTGGGAGTGACTCAGCCAGGTCATTTCCCTTGTTTTGTCTCGTAGCGATTCAGTCCTACCGGCAGTGCGCTGTCTTTTAACCTCCAGCCAGCAGAAGATGACGGCTAGTCGTCATACTGCACAGTCTTCTGCCGAGCACACAGGAGATGATGATGGCTAGCGGTCGTACTGCACAGTCTGCTGCCAGCAAGATGCATAAAGATAGATGAAGTGGCTCAAAACAAGAAATAGACCAGATTTATTTTGTATTCTTTTTCTCCTCCCCTCTGTGAAATCAATGGCCTGCTAAACCCGGTTTTGAGTTCTATCCTTGTGGTTTTGAATTCTATCCTTGAGGGGACCATTTCTCACAAACCACCCCCTTTGTTGATTTTAATTCCCTGTAACCCATGTCGTCAGTCGCCCCTCCCTCCGTCAGGGCAACGGCAGACAATCGTTCCTCGCCTTTTTTCTGTGCAGACACCATACCACGGCAGCATGGAGCCCACTCAGATCACTTTGGCAATTAGGAGCACATTAAACACCATGCGCATTATCCAGCAGTATATGCAGCACCAGAACCTGGCAAAGTGATACCGGGCGAGTAGGCGACGTCAGCGCGGTCACGTGAGTGATGAGGACATGGACACAGACTTCTCTCAAAGCATGGGCCCTGGCAATGTGGGCATCATGGTGCTAATGGGGCAGGTTCATGCGGTGGAACGCCGATTCTGGGCTCGGGAAACAAGCACAGACTGGTGGGACCGCATAGTGTTGCAGGTCTGGGATGATTCCCAGTGGTTGCGAAACTTTCGCATGCGTAAGGGCACTTTCATGGAACTTTGTGACTTGCTTTCCCCTGCCCTGAGGCGCAAGAATACCAAGATGAGAGTAGCCCTCACAGTTACGAAGCAAGTGGCAATAGCCCTGTGGAAGCTTGCAACGCCAGACAGCCACCGGTCAGTTGGGAATCAATTTGGAGTGGGCAAATCTACTGTGGGGGCTGCTGTGATGCAAGTAGCCAACGCATTCAAAGATCTGCTGATACCAAGGGTAGTGACCCTGGGAAACGTGCAGGTCATAGTGGATGGCTTTGCTGCAATGGGATTCCCTAACTGTGGTGGGGCCATAGACGGAACCCATATCCCTATCTTGGCACCGGAGCACCAAGCCGGCGAATACATAAACCACAAGGGGTACTTTCCAATAGTGCTGCAAGCACTGGTGGATCACAAGGGACGTTTCACCAACATCAACTTGGGATGGCCGGGAAAGGTACATGATGCTCGCATCTTCAGGAACTCTGGTCTGTTTCAAAAGCTGCAAGAAGGGACTTTCTTCCCAGATGAGAAAATAACTGTTGGGGACGTTGAAATGCCTATAGTTATCCTTGGGGACCCAGCCTACCCCTTAATGCCCTGGCTCATGAAGCCATACACAGGCAGCCTGGACAGTAGTCAGCAGCTGTTCAACTACAGGCTGAGCAAGTGCAGAATGGTGGTAGAATGTGCATTTGGACGTTTAAAGGCGCGCTGGTGCAGTTTACTGACTCGGTTAGACCTCAGCAAAACCAATATTCCCATTGTTATTACTGCTTGCTGTGCGCTCCACAATATCTGTGAGAGTAAGGGGGAGACGTTTATGGCGGAGTGGGAGGTTGAGACAAATCGCCTGGCTGCTGGTTTTGCACAGCCAGACACCAGGGAGGTTAGAAGAGCACAGGAGGGTGCGGTGCTCATCAGAGAAGCTTTGAAAACCAGTTTCATGACTGGCCAGGCTACGGTGTGAAAGTTCTGTTTGTTTCTCCTTGATGAAACCCCCCGCCCCTTGGTTCACTCTACTTCCCTGTAAGCTAACCACCCTCCCCTCCTCCCTTCGATCACTGCTTGCAGAGACAATAAAGTCATTGCTTCACATTCATGCATTCTTTATTAATTCATCACACAAATAGGGGGATAACTGCGAAGGTAGCCCAGGAAGGGTGGTGGAGGAGAGAAGCACCAGGAGGGGTGGTGGAGGAGGGAAGGACAAGGCTACACAGCACTTTAAAACTTTAAAACTTATTGAATGCCAGCCTTCTGTTGCTTGGGCAATCCTCTGGGGTGGAGTGGCTGGAGGCCCCCCCACCGCATTCTTGGGCATCTGGGTGAGGAGGCTATGGAACTTGGCGAGGAGGGCGGTTGGTTACACAGGGGCTGTAGCGGCAGTCTGTGCTCCTGCTGCCTTTCCTGCAGCTCAACCATACGCTGGAGCATATTGGTTTGATTCTCCAGCAGTCTCAGCATGGAATCCTGCCTCCTCTCATCACGCTGCCGCCACCTTTCTGCTTCAGCCCTCTCTTCAGCCCGCCACCTCTCCACCTGATCATATTGTGCTTTCCTGCACTCTGACGTTGTCTGCCTCCACGCATTTGTCTGTGCTATGTCAGTGTGGGAGGACAGCATGAGCTTGGAGAACATTTCATCATGAGTGTGGTTTTTTTTTTTCACCTTCTAATCTTCACTAGCCTCTGGGAAGGAGAAGATCTTGTGATCATTGAAACACATGCAGCTGGTGGAGGAAAAAAAAAAGGCAGTGGTATTTAAAAAGAGACATTTTCTAGAACAATGGATACACTCTTTCACGGTAAACCTTGCTGTTAACATTACATACACAGCACGTGTTTTCGTTCCAAGGTCGCATTTTGCCTCCCCCCACCACGTGGCTAGTCCCTCACCTCCCCCTTCCCCCCCCCCCCCCCATGGCTAACAGCAGGGAACATTTCTGTTCAGCCACAGGCAAACAGCCCAGCAGGAATGGGCACCTCTGAATGCTCCCTTAAGAAAAGCACCCTATTTCAACCAGGTGACCACGAATGATATCACTCTCCTGAGGATAACACAGGGAGATAAAGAACGGATGTTGTTTCAATGCCAGTAAACATACACTGCAATGCTTCGTTCCACAACGATTCCCGAGTACGTGCTACTGGCCTGGTGTGGTAAAGTGTCCTACCATGGTGGGTGGAATAAGGCTGCCCTCCCCAGAAACCTTTTGCAAAGGCTTTGGGAGTACATCCAGGAGAGCTGCAAATGCCAGGGCAAATTAATCATTAAACATGCTTGCTTTTAAACCATGTATAGTATTTTAAAAGGTACACTCACCAGAGGTCCCTTCTCCACCTGGCGGGTCCGGGAGGCAGCCTTGGGTGGGTTTGGGGAGAACTGCCTCCAGGTCCAGGGTGAGAAACAGTTCCTGGCTGTCGGGAAAACCGGTTTCTCCGCTTGCTTGCTGTGAGCTATCTACAACTTCATCATCATCATCTTCCTCGTCCCCAAAACCTGCTTCTGTGTTGCCTCCATCTCCATTGAAGGAGTCAAACAACATAGCTGGGGTAGTGGTGACTGAACCCCCTAAAATGGCATACAGCTCATCATAGAAGCGGCATGTTTGGGGCTCTGACCCGGAGCGGCCATTTGCCTCTCTGGTTTTCTGGTAGGCTTGCCTCAGCTCCTTAAGTTTCACGCAGCATTGCTTCGGATCCCTGTTATGGCGTCTGTCCTTCATGCCCTGGGAGATTTTGACAAATGTTTTGGCATTTCAAAAACTGGAACGGAGTTCTGATAGCACAGATTCCTCTCCCCATACAGTGATCAGATCCCATACCTCCCGTTCGGTCCATGCTGGAGCTCTTTTGCGATTCTGGGACTCCATCAGCTGGCTGTATTTCAAGGAATCCCTGTTGAGGTTACAGGGACAAACCATCCCGATGTGTCGAAAGAATAGTAAATATGGCAGGTGACCAGCTTGGCTTAACTGTGAAATCCTAGCGGATCTTAAACATAAAAAAGAAGCTTACAAGAAGTGGAAGGTTGGACATATGACCAGGGAAGAGTATAAAAATATTGCTCAGGCATGTAGGAATGAAATCAGGAGGGCCAAATCGCACCTGGAGCTGCAGCTAGCGAGAGATGTCAAGAGTAACAAGAAGGGTTTCTTCAGGTATGTTGGCAACAAGAAGAAAGCCAAGGAAAGTGTGGGCCCCTTAATGAATGAGGGAGGCAACCTAGTGACAGAGGATGTGGAAAAAGCTAATGTACTCAATGCTTTTTTTGCCTCTGTCTTCACAAACAAGGTCAGCTCCCAGACTGCTGCGCTGGGCAACACAACATGGGGAATAGATGGCCAGCCCTCTGTGGAGAAAGAGGTGGTTAGGGACTATTTAGAAAAGCTGGACGTGCACAAGTCCATGGGGCCGGATGAGTTGCATCCGAGAGTGCTAAAGGAATTGGCGGCTGTGATTGCAGA